AGGAAGCTGCGAGTTGTCCCCCCCCCCTTGAGCTGATTTAAGAAACCGCTGCTGTGTCGTCGGTGCACCAACACATGGCGACCTCTTAGGTCTGGGAGAAAGTGTTTCAATTCTAGAAACACAGCCAGCATCTCCAGGCAGTTGAAGTGCCACGTGAGATGGCGGCCGCTCCACAGACCGCGGACCGAGCAGCCACTCATGACCGCTCCTCAACCGGTGAGGGACGCGTCCGTCGCTAGCATTATGCGGCGACAAGGAGCTCCCAGCACCGGGCCCTGAGACAAGAACCAAGGTTACGCCACATGGCATCGCCGCGTGACCTTGAGCATGCGGAGTGGGTTTCCCCTCAGGGAGAACCCCTTGGTCTTGAGCCACCACTGTAGGGGTCTCATGTACAGCAGATAAACATACAACCTCGGTTGAGAGACAGGAAGCTGCGAGTTGTCCCCCCCCCCTTGAGCTGATTTAAGAAACCGCTGCTGTGTCGTCGGTGCACCAACACATGGCGACCTCTTAGGTCTGGGAGAAAGTGTTTCAATTCTAGAAACACAGCCAGCATCTCCAGGAAGTTGAAGTGCCACGTGAGATGGCGGCCGCTCCACAGACCGCGGACCGAGCAGCCACTCATGACCGCTCCTCAACCGGTGAGGGACGCGTCCGTCGCTAGCATTATGCGGCGACAAGGAGCTCCCAGCACCGGGCCCTGAGACAAGAACCAAGGTTACGCCACATGGCATCGCCGCGTGACCTTGAGCATGCGGAGTGGGTTTCCCCTCAGGGAGAACCCCTTGGTCTTGAGCCACCACTGTAGGGGTCTCATGTACAGCAGATAAACATTTGGCAGAAGTTTCCACGCTGCCGGCGAGCAGACACATTTGGCAGAAGCTTCCACACTGCCAAAATGGTCTACTAAGGGAATCAGTCTCTCGAGACTGAGATAATGAATAATGAGATCTCTGGTGTATCTAGGTCGGTGCCCTGAAGCGGCGAACCGGCAGGAGACGGCCGAACTAGCTGCTCTAGAAACCTCAGAAGAGGTTTCTGGGCGGTGACTGAGAGAAGCGATGGCATCAGGACTCTCTAAGCTGAAGTCTCCTATTGAAAACGACGGTCCTCAGACCCGCGTCATCTCCTGGGAAGACTAGACTGATACAACCAGAGCCTGCTCGGGCAGGACCCAATGAGACACGTTTGGCAGGGGCTCCCACACCACCAAGTGACCTACTGAGGGAACCAGTCTCTCGAGACTGGCCTCTGGTGCACTTAGAGCGGCTAGGTCGGTACCCTGAAGCGGTGGACCGGCAGGCAATGGCCGAACTAGCTGCCCTAGAAACCTCACAAGAGGTAGCGAGTCTCTTAGTACCGCTACGCTACCGCTTGGTCACACAAACAATATCAATCTCCTCTGAGAAAAATAGCTGCAGCAGCGAGCTCTCACTTAGAGGGGGAAGAAACCGCAGCACGGGCTTCCGAGCCTCGAGAGAGAGCGCTGGATCTAGGGAGTGCAGGCGGAGAAAGG